TAAATATGCTTTAGTGGAAATGGGAAAATGGAGAGCCATGTGAATGCAATGGTGAGCCGCTGAGTGTCCCCAGACATTTTGGGGTGGGTTCCAGACATACTGAGCAAAGGATGAGGGTTGTGGCAGAGATTTTAGACCAAACATTTGTTTGCACAAATATCCACGTGCTTCTGTACATTTTCTAGATTCCCAGCAGTGGTGTTGAGGCCATGTGACTGGGATGTGGGGAAGAGTGAGGCAGACCACTTCCAGGCCTGGTCCTTAGCAATATTTTATTTGAAGGCCACCTGCTCTTTCCCTGCACTAACAATCTTGAAAGTCACTGTTCCAAATGGCATAGCTACACAGTGGAGGAAAACTACCTAACTCATACTAGATTTTTTCCTGTGTTGAGTAATGGCATTACTTATAATTTTATTATATTTATTGTGGTGACATTGGTTAATAATATTATATGTTTCAAGTGTACACTTCTATAATACATCATCTGTATAGTGCATAATTTGCTCGTCAGACTAGATTTTTCATGGGTAAAAGAAACTTATTGGGTAAAGTCACTGTGATTTTAAGGTAATTTGTTAATACAGCATGGCCCAGAGGACTCCCCTCTTTACCCAGTGAGCTCTGACAGGTATGTGAGTGTGGTCATAAATAAATGTCCCCTTGGGCAATGAGGGCTGTGGCCTAGGCAGAGCCCATTAGCAGCCAATGTGTATGGGACAGACAAAATTTCTAGTCCACTCACGAGTAACTATATGACCTTGGGCCTCTCTTGCCTTGTTTCTGCATCAGGACAAATGAGGAGTCCCATTATCTCTGTCAATCATCAGGGCTCTTGTGAAGATGAAGAGAGTGCTTTGAAATGGTGAAGGATGCTCTGTAAGCACTCGATCTCATTAAGTAGACCTTGTACATTTTCTTTTCTTATGCGGAGGGAAGAGAGGAAAGAAATGGAATATTCCCAGATGATTAAAAGGCACTTTTTAAAGCCAGGCTCCTGGAAGCCCTTGGTCTTGCCCTCCCTTTTAAAGCATATCTCCTAGTGCCAGTGCTATGCTAAGACATACTAGAGACTAAAGAAAAATCAGTGATACTGGTGCTGTATTTGTTTAAAATATCGATGTTTTGTTCATCATACATTTTTTGCATTAGTTTTGGTTTTAAAATAATATTACATTATTATTTACCTTGTTCACTAATGTTTTTGATGCCACCTTAACTTTTGTACCTGAGGAGAGTGCCCCATGCACCTCACCCTAGCCCTGGACTTGCCTAGTGCCAACTTCTTCTGTTGCCAAAGTCCCATTCTTGTCCCAGGAGTTGTCCCTGGGCTCTTCTGCCCCCGTGAATTTGCTCACACTGGTCCCCTTTCCTAAAGAGCTTTGCCCATCATGTTCCCACCCCGACCTCTGCCCAAACGAACTCTCACTTTCCCTGGGAAGCCATCCCTGATCTACCCCAGCTATAAGTAATCTTGCCTTACGTTGATTCCCCATGCGCCTTACCCACATCTTGCTTCAGAGTTTAGTACTTGTTATATTGCAGGAGGTGTAACTATCTACCTATTAGGCTGCACATGTCTTGTAGACAGGCGTTGTGGGTTTTTGGGGAGGGGTTTGTATCTCTTGCTCTTTGTTTGGAACTCTCAGCACAGTGATGAATCAATGAACCATGTGGTCTTACTTTCTCCTGTTTCTCATAATTGTCAAAGAGAACAACTGTTCTGTTCTTCCCTGTCTGCCTTATTTCCTTTTCTAAATTGAGACATGTTGAAATTCAATGACTTAACAAAATACCTATGAATTTGGGACTAAAAAATACTGCAGTGTCAAAGATGCAGAGAGCTGGCAAAGGTCATGCCAACAAGAACTTGCCAATTTCTCCTCTGGGCAGCATCCCAGGTGGTTATTTTCCCTAGAGTTTCACTTGTTTATAAAGAGGAAAAAAGGGGGAGACTTAATAATACACCTGACCCCCAGGGAGGGCAAACTTAGAAGACACGATGTGTCTTGTTGAGGTCTCTGTAAAGTCCCCAATGCGTCCTCCTGCATGGTGTGGATCAAAGCCTTGTGTTTACAAAGCACCCCTCTTCTAGGGTATGGCCATGCTGGCGAGGGTGGCAATGGGCACAATTTCTGATGTTCTGACTGCAGAAGTCAAAGCAGAGGTATCTCTCTCCTCAGGGATCATGCAGAACTGGGTTCAGGGCTTTTTGACTCCACTCAGTGGGCGTGTCTTAGGCTTTGGGAGTTGGGACTGGGACCAGGTGCCTTGTTGAGATCCCTGTGAACAATAATTGCCTTTCCTTAGAGACCACTTTAGCCGTCGACTGGGAACTTCAGAGCTTTTGTAGTGACTATTACTGTCTTCTCCGTGAGGAGATTATGGTGGGGCCAGGAAGCCATAGGAAGAGGCTGTTCCCAGCCTGTACCTGAGCAAAGCCCAGGGAGACGAATGCATCTTAACCAGATCTACCAGGTCACAGAAACAGAAAGATTAGGGGAAGAAAGAGAAAAAAGTGCTTGACAGACCAGTATTGAGAAAGATACAGCACAGGAGCTGACACTGAGGCAGCGATGACATTATTGTCCTGATGTTGACCCACTGAGGGGAGTGTAGGGAGAGGGGGAGGACACTGAGGCCCCAAGAGATTAAGCAAGTTGCTCATCTTATAACTCAGCAGGTATCTGAGGACAAGAACCCCTAGACCTCCTGCTGCCCGGTGCAGTGGTCTCTCCCTGACACACGTAGGATGCTTCTCCGAGCAGTGAAAGAGAAAAGACCTTTAGAGACAAAGGGAAATTAGTGGACAAAGAGTGAAGAGGACTTGCCAGGTGACGGTGAGGTGGAATTCAGGTGAGAAAACCTATCCAGTTCTCTTGATTTATGCTCAGTTCAGATCACCAGGTCCAATTTCCTTTATTTATCATTTCCCCCAATATGTCAGTCCAACACTGGAGTAGGTGCCAAAGTCTAATGCTTTAAAGATGATGAAATATCTTCTTTACCCTGCCACACTGCAACTCTGCCAAAGGACTTCTGTTCATTAGCACAAAATCCCCATCAGCCTTCAGATATGACTACACTGCAGAGCTGGTGCTCATGCCTGTCTACTTACAGGTAGACATTTCCTGAGTCCTGCTGGGTTCTTGGAATAGACATGTGATGAATGTGAAATTCTGTTATGGGTAGTGCTTCTGTGAGTAGTTTTGTTCCTAATGACGGCTCTGCCATTTACTAGTACAGTGTTGGGCCTATTACTAAAACTCTTATTGTCTCAGTTTCCTCATCTGTAAAATGAGGATAGTTTAAAAGTTCTTATGTAAAAAGTGGTTGTTGGGATTAAATGAGTTAGTATATAAGTTATTTAGAATAGTTTCTTTCTATGTGTTTTTCTCATTAAGGACAATACTAGTTCTTATAAAATTTATTTTTGGTAAACTAAGAGGCTCTAATTAAGACAGCAGCTTTCTGTTAAGTAAGGACATTGGTCTGAGAATGGAAAGGTCAAACCAAGGATGGCTATGACCTTCATAAATGTTGATCGATTTTAATGAGTTCTTAGACTTCAGACATTTTTTGTTTGTAAACATTTTCATAAAAATAATCACTTGAGCATTTGTACTGTGCATTTCCCTTTGTAAGGTGCTTCATATCTTGTTTGATAACTTTATTCCACAAAAATGTATGGAGCCCTTAGTATGTGCACCTACTCTGACCAGGGAAGGCAGACTTAAGAGAGACTTCTTGTGGGCAGTACAACTTGAGCTGAGGTTTGAAGGTTGTGTAGGAGCTGACCAGGACCCTGGGCATGGGCAGGAGAAGGTGTTTCAGCAGAAGGGGTGGCCTGTAGATAGTACAGAGATGTGGGAGAATGGGGATTAGAGGAGCTGCAAATAATTTAGTGTGGCTGGAGAGCGTGAGGAGTGAGAAGTGAGAAGGGGGCCTGAGGCAGCGAGTTGGGAGGAGCTCATGGAGGGCATTCCCTGACACATTGGAGAGTCTAAGTAATATTCTACCCTTTCTGGGGTGCCATGGTTGAATTTTTAACAGGAGGGTGAGATGTGATCACATTAAAGTCTTAGAAGCATCACTCTAGTCACAACAACGAGCAGGAATTAGTAAGAAGCAAGTCTGAAGGCAGAAAGGGCTGTTAGTTACAGGGCTGTTGTTTTGATCTAGGCAGGAGATGAAGAGGGTTTGAAATAGGGGAGAAGCTGTGGTCCTGGAGAAAAGGGGACAGAGTCCTGAGATGGATATTTCTGTGGTAGACAGGACCCCGTGTATCACACTCTAATGGAGCAAAAGGAAAATTTTGGTTAAGAGATGAAATACTACCATTTGCAGCAACATGGATGGACCTTGAAAATATCATGCTAAGCGAAATAAGTCAGACAGAAAATGTTAAGAACCATAGGAATTCACTTGTATGTGGGATATAAAACTGAAATCAACAAATGAACAAGCATGAAAAACAAAAACTCATAGACATGGACTACAGTATGGTGGTTACCAGAGGGCAGGGGGTGGGAGGAGTAATAAGTGATGAGGGGGGTCAAGTATATGGTGAAGGAAAATGATTTGACTTTGGGCGGGAGGCACACAATGCAATATACAGATCATGTATCATAGAATCGTACACTTGAAATCTGTATGATCTTATTAACGAATATCACCCCAATAAATTTAATTTAAGAAAGAGTGGTTATCTGAATCGCAGGGCCTCACACAGTTAGTCAATAATAAAGGTGGGAGAATAGGTACTCTTATTCTGAAAACACCTACCTGTATTGATTTTCTTGACATACTAAGATGTCCCCATGTCATAGAATTCCCTTGAAGGCAGGACCTAGGACCAGTCATCTCTGAAGCCCACGCGGCGCTGGGCGTATTTTGCCCACAGCACGTGCTCAGTGAAATGTAAACCAGGGATGCAGCTGAGTCCTGTCCGTAGCTTCCTAACCTGCTTCTCGTCGTAGTCCTCTCGGGTACCCTGCCCCATGGCAAAGAAGAATGTCACCTTAGTGACCGAATTCCTCCTCGTGGCATTCACGGACCGTCCTCAGCGAGCACGTCCTCTCTTCCTCCTGTTTCTGTTTATCTATCTCAGCACCTTGTTGGGGAACTTGGGCATGATTACCCTGATCCATGTGGATCGCCGGCTGCACACCCCAATGTACTTCCTTTTGAGTCACCTCTCTTTCACGGACATCTGCTACTCGTCTGTCACTGTGCCTCAGATGATGGCAGTGCTGCTGGAGCTGGGGGCAGCTCTGTCCTACCCGCGCTGTGCTGCTCAGTTCTTCCTCTTCACCTTCTTCGGCTCCATCGACTGCTACCTGCTGGCCCTCATGGCCTATGACCGCTATGTGGCCGTGTGCCGACCCCTGCTTTATGTCACCGTCATGACGCAGAAGGCCCGCTTGGGTTTCGTGGCCGGGGCTTACGTCGCCGGCCTCTTCAGTGCCTCGGTGCGGACAGTCGCGGCGTTCACTCTCTCCTTCTGCGGAACCAATGCCATCGACTTTCTTTTCTGTGACCTCCCTCCTCTTTTAAAGCTGACCTGTGGGGACAGCTACACCCAGGAGATGGTCATTATTGTGATCACTATTTTTGTTATCCCTGCCTGCATGGTGGTGATCCTGGTGTCCTACCTGTTTATCATCGTGGCCATTATGAGGATCCCCTCTGCTGGAGGCAGGACCAGGACCTTCTCCACCTGTGCCTCGCACCTCACCGCCGTGTCGCTCTTCTTCGGGACCCTCATCTTCATGTACCTGCGGGACAGCGCGGGCCAGTCCTCAGAGGTGGACCGGGTGGTGTCTGTGTTCTACACGGCAGTCATCCCCATGCTGAACCCCCTCATCTACAGCCTGAGGAACAAGGAGGTGAAGGCGGCCCTAAGGACAATTCTCAACAGAACCAAGTTGTCCTAACTGTCCCCAGCCCTGGACAATCCTGAGCATCACCTCCTCAGCATTCTGGACACATTATTTATAGCACACTCGGTGTTGAAATGAATATGTCATGGTACAAGGTATAAAAAAAGAAGCAGAAATTTTAGTTTCAGAGAGAGAAAGGGAAAAAAGGAAAGGACAGCCTGAGAAGAGAGATTGGGGCGAGGGCTCTAACTCCCAGGACAAATGACGAAAGGACCTGAAATGAAATCCTGTGTAATCCAGGGTTACATTTTATGCAAAATTTTCCATGAAAGATTTCCATCATATAGAAATATTGAAAATAATGTATAGTGAATCCCGTATACTCAATACTCTCGTAACTGCTAATATTTTGTCATATTTGCCTTATCATATATATAATCTATCAATTTATCCATCCAACAAATTATCCATCAGTACACTTTACTTTCTGATGCATGTCAAAGTGAGTTGCAGCCATTGGTATTAGCACTCTTCACCCCTATATACTTCAGAATATCATCAATTAGAAGTCAATACTGAGAGTACATTTATTTGTAATGATTAAATTGAGGTAGTAGACTGATGGTCCAGTTAATAAAGCTGACCCTGCTCAAAGTATTCTTCAGACGCTGGTCTAGTTCACAGAGATGCCTCACAAGAAGGGTAATAAAAAATGTCCACAATAACGTGTCTGTCGGTTGCTATCAGCACAGAAATATCTCCGTCCTTTCTTCTTCCCCGCCTGTCCCACCTCCCGCTTACACATGGTTCGCCCAAGAATCCACTTGGTAAATTTATCCCATTTCCACTGCTCGTAACAGCACCCGCAGTGTCCGTATGGTGGACGCTGACACTTTATGCTCCTAAAGCTTCTGACCCTGGGGAGACGGACGTTGCTGCCTCCCACGCAGAGGTGCGCAGGAGGGAACCCCGGCCTGCTCAGGTCCCTGCGCTCCGCAAGGGCTCAGCCGGCGCCCAAGGCCTCCCAGAGTGCGATGGTTCTGATCTTCCCTCCTCTGGCTGTAGGTGCCTCAGTCCCAGGCCCTGGAAGGGAACAGGTCTCACCTACTCATCATTTTCTGTTCTTTCTTTGATTCTTACTCCTGGAACTCAGACTCCTTTTCTCTCTGTCCCTTGCGTTAGCCAAAAACACCACCTTATGTGTGTGAATGATATCAACCCTCTCGGGAGGGGGAAGGGGGCTGACAGTATTGGGTCTGATGAGACTTTGAGGAAATCATGCTCTTCAAGTACACACCTTAATATTTTCATTTAGGGCACAAGGCAGAAGGTCAAGCAAGGTTCGAGCTCCTGAGAACGCTTCCCAAGGCATTGCCTCTGGATATAACCTGTGGAGATTAGCTGTGTCAGAACCACCTGAGATGGCCGCTATCTAGGTGCCTGGTCCCATGGCAGACCCGCTGCATCACAATTTATGGGGGTGGGACGATAGTATTCACATTTCCAATAAATTCCTTGGGTGATTCTTAGGCACACTGAAGTTTGAGAGCCAGTGCTCTGGAGGAGAGGTCAGTCACCATTAAGAATTTGGTCAGTTTGCCGGGTAGAAGTCTGTTCATGACCTGCTCACACCTACCGTTCCATCATTTCATCTCATGGTACCTGCACTTGCAACATGTTTCTGCCAAATGGTGAACTTTCAGCCTCCTTTTGGGATCAGATTGTGCTAGCCAGGGTACCATTGTGCAGAACTGTTGCCAAAATTTCCAAGTGAGATATAGGAAACCTTCAAAGAAATTAATTTCTTTTGGTACAAGGCAGGACTAAGGCAAGACTAGGAACTAGTCCCATAGGACCCTGCTGAGTGATGGCAGGACATGGGATGGGGACTTTGGGAGTTTGAAATGAAAAAGAAAATTTCAAAAATACTAGATGCCTTGTTAGGAAGTCACATGAAGATAAACGACCTGTCCTTGGAGACTCACCTCAGGAACCAATTAGTGTGCGATGCTGGTGCAGGTAATATAAGAAGCACCACCAGCAAGGTCTAGCTCTGGATCAGAAACTCAGTGAAAGAGGCTGGGCCCCTAGCCCTGCTATCCTGGGCTGAGTCTGAAAAAATCCCAGGGAACTCTAGTGTCAGAGATGCACTGTTTTGTTAAGGGTGAGAGGAAAGAGAGGGACTCCATGAAGTGAGAATGGGACATAGAGTTTCTGGGAGTGACCCCATCTCAACCGGCTTGCTTTGATGAAGGTCTCATGCTGCATTGCTCTCTATTGAAAGGGAACAAAGGTAAGGCAGCTGAAGTCCAAAGAGGAAAAGTGACTTGCCCAGGCTCACTCATCTAGTGTGGGTCTCCTCTGCATCAGCAGGTCACCGGCAGAGGAAATGCTAAACAGAGGAGGAAGCCACTACTGAAGCAGAATTCAGGTGAGGGCGGTTCATGCCCAGCTCATGGCTTCCAGATCTGATTTCTTTTCTTTGTAATCCCCAACGAATTAGCTCGGTACTGACCTGACTGCTGCTGTGTCAGGCGATCAAATGTGATCAAAGCATTTCTTTAGAGCCTATTCTAGAACTCTGTTTAGGACCCACAGATCCATGAACTCAGATTCCTCCAACAAGGCTTAGGCAACACCAGAACTGTCTCTGCTTTCAAATTCAATGCTGTTTGTCATCAAACTACTGCTTTCATTAAGACTGTGAGAACAACCAGACAGTGGTTATGGAGCTCTGTTCGATGCTAAAATGAGCTAATGTTTGCTCTTTTGATTCCAAGGTTAATGCTAGTACTTTCAGAAAACAAAAAACAAACAAAAGACCCTTGATAAGCCAGCCAGCTCTAATTAGGATAACAGCTGTTTGTTAAACATTCATGTTGCTAGACTGAAAATAGAAATATTCCTAAAAGCAGAGCCCACTGCTAATTGCTAATGGATTTTTTTTGGGTTCATGCTCTTTTGTTCACAGAATATACATTTTCCTTCCTCAAAAATGTTCATTTAAAATTTTAAATAGCCACCAGATCTGTGTGGAGTGCCTTTAGCTTTCCAAAGCGCTTTCTCATCTGTTCTAATCTGTGCATTAACCTTATCTCATAAAGCAGGGCGGATGTTATGAGTCCCTCTTGGCAGAAGAGGAAATTGAGGTTCAGAGAGGTTAAGTGCCTTGTGTAAGATCAAACAGCTAATTGGGGACAGAGCTGCAAAAACAAGGGCTGACTTGTAAGGCAGAGAATCACCGGCTCTCCATTCTTAGTATAATAGAAGCATTCATCACCTTTTATCTTATATTATAGTGAGCTCTATATTTGTCTACTTCCACATCAGAACTGCAGTTTGCTGAAGTCAAGTGCCTACATGGCAGACACCCCATTTAAAGCTTTCTTACTTGAAATGACGTGAGCTTCCCCCCTCTGGCTCTCGCCTCGGCCCCCCGGGCACAGCTGAGTGGATGGCCGGGAGGAATCACACGGTGGTGACAGAGTTCCTCCTTACTGCCTTCGCTGAGCACCCCGAGTGGGGGCTGCCTCTCTTCCTGGTATTTTTGAGTTTCTATTTCGTCACTCTGCTGGGGAACGCGGGGATGATCGTCCTGATCCACAAAGATCGCCAGCTCCGCACCCCCATGTACTTCTTCCTGGGCCACCTTTCCTTCGTGGACATGTGCTACTCCTCTGTCATCGTCCCCCAGTTGCTGGCTGTGCTCCTGCACCACGGCACAGCCATCTCGCGGGCTCGCTGCGCAGCTCAGTTCTTCCTCTTCACCTTCTTTGCGTCCATCGACTGCTACCTGCTGGCCATCATGGCCTACGACCGCTACGTGGCCGTGTGCCAGCCCCTGCTCTATGTCGCCGTCATGACCGAGAAGGCCTGCCGGGGCCTGGTGGCCGGGGCTTACGCGGCTGGCTTCGCCAGCGCCTTCGTGCGGACGGTCACGGCCTTCAGCCTCTCCTTTTGCGGAGACAACGAGATCGACTTTATTTTCTGCGACCTCCCCCCGCTGTTAAAACTCACCTGTGGGAACAGCTTCACCCAGGAGGTGGTGATCATGGTGTTTGCCGTTTTTGTCATGCCCGCTTGCGTGTTGGCCATCTCGGCGTCCTACGTGTTCATCGTCGTGGCCGTGGCGCAGATCCGCTCGGCCGGGGGTCGGGCCAGGACCTTCTCCACCTGTGCCTCGCACCTGGCCGCCGTGTCGCTCTTCTTCGGGACCCTCATCTTCATGTACCTGCGGGACAACGCGGGCCAGCCCTCCCAAGAGGACCGGGTGGTGTCTGTGCTCTACACAGTGGTCACCCCGATGCTGAACCCCCTCATCTACAGCCTGAGGAACAAGGAGGTGAAGGCGGCTGTTAGGAAGGCCCTGAGCAGGCCGGAGGCTGCCGGGAGACCCTAGGTGGGCCCTGCCAAGGACATCATGCCTTCGTTTCCCCATCCTCTGGTTTTCTTTAACGTCAGCTACTTGGGAAGACTTTCCCGGACAGCCCTACCTAAATGGCACCTGAACCCAGCCCCGACCTGCCAGATACTGAGACAAAGAATGCAGCTGAGATCCGGACACTTCCCAAGCAAAGTGCAACTGAGAGTTGGGCCTGGGAGAGGGGGAAATGCAGAAGGGCGGATACCATGCTTTTCCTAGACTCACGGGTTTATCACTTCCTAGGGCATATACATCTAGGCACTGCTTGTACATCTGAAACTAATATATTGTATACCAATTACAATCGAATTAAAAAGAATTTTTAATTAAAAAAAAGAGTACATACTTTGGAATAAGAGAGACTTGAAATCAGAACTTCCCTGGACTGCCATTTTCTTGGTGAATAACTTGGGCAAGTTACATAACCTCTTTGGGCCTTATTTCTTCCTTTTGCTAAATGAGGTAAAAAATAATTACTTCCCATTAAAGTTGTTAGGAGAATGAAAATAAATGATTTATATAAAGCTTTCTGCATAGTGGTTCACATTCGTTTAAGTGTTTATTTACGTGTCCATTAGTTTAGGAGTTAAGTTAAAAAATTATTAGTGAATTCTCCACTTCTGGGGAGTCCGGATCCAAGGCTAATCTCGGCTCTGGAGAGACAGTTCCAGACAGTTCTAAAGTGAAGAGGTCCACTGATCAGCCATGGGTCCCTCTGCCCATCAGTGTTCACTGGGTTGTGCATCCTGGGACAATGACCATAATAACACTAATTAATGTTTGTAGAATTTCACCCAGCACCTTCCCACTCTCCACAGACACCAAGTTATTGTGAGAATAAATGAGATACATATAAAAACTAGTCCAGATCAATTTGGGGAGAACTGACATGTTGACTCTTCTGATCCATGAACTTGGTTTATTTCTCTTTTTATTTAGGTCTTTAATTTCTCTCATCATTTTTTTGTATTTTTCAGTGTAGAGCCTTTTCAAATGTTTTGTCAGATTTATTCCTAAGTATTCTATTATTTTTGATGCCATTGTAATGGTATTGATTTTAAAATTTTCGTTTCCAATTTTTCTTGTGTACAAAAATGCAATTACATTTTATTTTGATCTTGATACTCACTTTTTTTTTTTTTTAAACATATCTTTATTGATTTCAGGGAGAGGAAAGGAGAGGCAGAGAGAGAGATAGAAACATCAATGATGAAAGAGTCATGGATCGAGCCCACAACCTGGGCATGTGCCCTGACCGGGAATCGAACCGCGATCACCTGGATCCTAGGTTGACGCTCAACCGCTGAGCCACGCCTGGCCGGGCTTGATACTCACTTTTAATTCTAGTAACATTTTGTAGAGTCTATTGAATTTTCTGCATAGACAATCATGTTATCTTAGAATAAAAACAGTTTTCTTCCTTCCTAATATAAGTGATTTATTTATTTCTTTTCTTATTGCACTGGTTAGAACCTCTAATATAATGTTGAACAGAAGCAGTGGGTGTAGATTCCTATCCCGTTCTTGATCTTAGGGGAAACTTCTTAGCCTTTTGTCATTTGTTATGCAGATTTTTCATAGGTGCCCTTTATCTGGTTAAGAGAGTTTCCTTTGACTTCTAGTTTGTTGACAGTTTAAAAAAAAAAAAATCAGGAATGGATTTTAGATTTGGTCAAAAGATTTTTCTGTATCCACTAGGATGATCATATAGTTGTCTTCTTTCTGTTAATATGGTGAATTACATTGACTGCTTTTGGAATGTTAAACAATTGTTGTATTTCTAGGATAAACCACACTTATCACAGTGTAGTGTTCTTTTTGTTACCAAAGAAAGTAGAAAATGTTCCTGAGAATTCTTGGTTGGTTAAGAAGGTCACAGATGGTATTGTCTAACACCATATGCCAGTTTTAAAAGGGGTTTGTAGTTTTGAGTCCTCTAAACTTCTCTATTAAAGGGAGAAAAGAGAGAGAGGCAGTAAAAGGGAGAAAGAGGCAAAAAAGAAATTCAAGATATTTTAATCTTCTAAGAAGTATGTTCTGGATCAGGCAGTTTCACTTAGAATTCAACCCTGAGGATGCAGGAGTGGCCGAGAGATCACTAGGAGTGATAGCTCCAAGGATTGAAGAGGGCAGATTAGAAAGTGTGATTTCAGGAGCGATGGTTTGGCTCTTGTGGTATTTGAAACAGTTGATCCCTCCTTTTCTTGGATGACTTTTCACTTTCTTCCTCCATCTTCCAGACACTAATTTATTCTGGTTTCCTCCCTCCCTCATTGCAGCTTCTCAGGCTCCTTTGCTGGGCTCTTATTTCTAAATGTTCAAGTTACCCAGGGCTTAGTCATAGGTCTTTCCCTATGTAGTCACTCCTTAGATTAATTTAATTCAGTCCCATTGATTTAAATATTTACTTAAAGTATTTAAATAAATTTCAAAGTCTTTGCCATGGCCTATGATATTTAGCCAGTTTGGGTCCCTAACTACTTTCATGATTACCTTTCTTCTACTTCCCTCTAGTCCAATCCAACCTGTTCCCTCATCAGGGTCTTTCTACCTGCTCTTTCCTTTTCTTGGAATGTGTTTCCTCAGATCTGCTCAAGGCTCACTTCCTTATTTTATTCATTTCTCAGTGAAATTACTGAGAGGCCTTCCCCAACTCCAAAACTTCCCTATCTAAAATAGCTATTTCACCCTATGTTATCGTCTATCCTCTGACCCTGCTTGACTTTTTATCCCAGCCTTCTTGCTGCCTCATATTTATGGAGCAGCCATTGTTTGTTTATTTATTTACTCATTCATTCATTCATTTATTCATTCACTCATTCATTCATTCATTGTTTGCACCATGCACTGTGATATAAGAGCCAGGAAAGCCATGGGGATGACTTATTTCCTTTTGACTCTCACTAGGCACTCAAAAAATATTTGTTTATTGAACGAATAAATGAATGCTTTACTGACACTTTATACATTAGGTTTAACAAGTAAATTCTACCAAATACATGGGTTTTTTGGGTTTGTTTTTCTAGGCATTTCTTTTGCATTTGTGGTACCTACACTAAATTGACAGGGGTTTCTATTCATTTACTCATAAAACAACAACTTGGCTTTTCTCAGGTGTGGTTAACACAAAAGAACAAGGGTAGTGTAAAACACAGTTGACTATGTTTTGCACAAAATCTTTATGCTTTCTAAATATAATTATGTTAAATATTGTCTTTGGGCATCTAACTCTATGTGGTCTCTCCACATGTCCTCTCCAGCACAGTGGCTTCAGAGTACTGGGACCTTTTACGTGGTAACTCAGGGCTCCAGAGGTACATGTCCTGGAGAGAGTGTCCAGGTGGAAGCTGTATTGACTTTTCTTAGATAGATCTTGGAGACGATGCAGTACCACTTCTGGAATATTCTATTTGTTAAAGGAGTCCCCCAGACACTCTATGTTTAAGGGGAGGGACATAGACTCCATCACATGATGGGCAAATGGCCAAGTTCTTCAAGAGCGTGTGGGATGGAAAATATTGTTGTGACCATTTGGACCATATAGTCTGCCACAACCACTCTTAATATGTTGTTGATTGTCTTCCTAGGCATCTCTCTGCATATTCTGTTTTACATAAGTGGGTTTTCATGATACATGCTGTAACCTTCTTTCTTTATATTAGACCAGTTGTCATATTATAGCAAAAGAAACTGGGATTAGTAACATGCCTTGTCACACAGTGAGTTAGCTGCAGAGTTGGGCCAGACTCCAAGCCTCTTGATTATGAATCTAGGACTCTCTACTACTCCACGTGGAATAATGAAAGTAGAGCTCTGCGATGTCTCATGTTGGAACTGTGGATAGAATGGGGTAGATGTCGAGGCGCTTGAGGAAGGCAGAGCAGTTAAGAGGCCAGTTGGTAGCCCATATAAAAGCAGGTGGTCTTGCATTTGTAATAAAAATGCACATGAAACATAAGTTTGAGAGATGCCATAGAGAAAGGCAGGTTGCTGATTATATATTTTCTCTTAAAGAGGTTAGCTTTTTATAAGTTTAGAGAAAAATTGGAGTCAGCTTAGATTGGAGACAGATAAACCTAGTTTGGGAGGGCAGGCAGATTAGAGTTGGAAGCCATGGGACAGACACAAAAAAGGGAACACCTTTTTTTTTGAGTGTCTACAATATACTAAACAGTATGGTAGTTGTCTAATATATATGTCCATTTAGCAACAAACAGCTGTAAGATGTTGGGATTATTATTCTCATTTTATAGATGAAGAAGATGAGTTTCAATGTTTAAGTACCCCAGGTAATTCTAATGTACATCCACAGTTGGAAACAACTGGGACCAATGACTTCATTTTATAGATGAGAAAATAGGCTCACTAAAGTGAACTGACGTGCCTAAAACCTCACAGCTAGTTGGGCACAGAGTCAGGACAAGAATTGATGACTTCTATATATACACTGTCTGGTTTTCCATCAAAATACATTTCCCAAAATGTATTTGGCACAACACTAGACCTGTGAACTAGCCTGTGATGAATCAGGTCCTGTTATGATTGGATATGTTTAGTTTTGAGAAATGCCACATACCATATTACCCTCCTGGAGATTTATACTATACTAAAGGCTCTGAGAAGTTGTCTAATTAAAACATTTTGCTTTGCTTAACTTAGAGTTGCCAACATTGTTTGAACATGGGATCCTTCATTTTTATAATTATTGAACATCCCACTGAAGGGTACCTCAGCAAAATGAACACCGAGGAAAGCTGACCTAGAGAAATCTGTATTGGGTAAAGGAATTACCAATAACCGTCTTCAAAGTTGCAAAAGCCAGACTGTGGGTACTACACACACTTGTTATCATCTAACTTATAAACAATTTGCACCAAAGTTTGCAGTAACACACATTATAATCAAGCTGTGTTTTATAGTTGTGACTTAAGGGGTTTGTTTCCAAGATCAGAGCTATGTGATAAAACCCCAACTCT